TGTAGTTGTCTCTTTTCTTAGCTCATACCTATATCCGCACACCCTCAATGAAACAGGTTCACATTTCATCATACTCAATTGACTAGAAATTGTGACTGGATCAATTGATGAATCTAACTCAAAGTTACGTGAAGCATTTTTCAAAGCTGCAGAGAACAATTTGAAGAAGTTAAAAGTATATTAATTATAATATAATTTTTATTTAAATATTTTTTTTTGTTTTTATTCTTATATTTGTTTTTTTCTCCTCTCATTGCTAAAATATCTGCTTTGATTGGCTTTTTTGTTTAAAAAAACAAACATCATCATTAAAATTTCTTTTTTTTAATTGTATGAATAGATTCACATTTTTCAATTTCATGAAAAAATTATATTTCGATTAGCTGATTAAGAAAGTGTTGATATTTTTCTTGTATATCTCGATAATACACATGGATTTGTTCGTTTATTTGATTTTTTTAATCGATCACGTGTATATATATATATGCAAACATATACAGTCTAACATTGATATTGTCATTCTAAAATAAATAAATCAGAATTAGCAACTCTAATCAATGGAATAAGATATGCGTGAAATTCTGAATATCTCTATTGGGCAATGTGGTAATCAAATTGCTGGAAAAGTAATAAAGAAAAAATATTATAATACAATCATTTGATGATATATTCTAGTTCTGGGAAGTTGTTGCTGGTGAACATGGTCTGTCTCCAATTGGAGTTTATGGTGGTGATTCTGATTTACAACTTGAACGTATCAATGTTTATTTCAGTGAAGCAACAGGTGATACAAAATCAAAATAGTTTTCAATGAATATAATAAAAAGAAAGAACAATGAATATTCTAGGTGGTAAATATGTTCCACGTGCAATCTTATGTGATCTTGACACAGGTTCAATTGATTGTATACGTGCTTCATGTTACGGTCAAATGTTTCGACCCGATAATTTTGTATTTGGAACAGGTGGTGCAGGCAATAATTGGGCTAAAGGTTTATACGATATACAAGAAATGAAATTTTATGATAAGTTATTTTTTCTTTTAGGTTATTATGGTGAAGGAGCTGAAACAATTGATTATATGTTAGATGCTATTCGTCGAGAAGTTGAAAATACCGATTGTATGCAAGGTAAGAATGATAGTATTTCATTATTATTATTATTATTTTTGCTTAATCAGGTTTTCAAATTATGCAAAGTATTGGTGGTGGATCAGGTTCTGGTCTTGGTTCACTTGTATTGAATCGTTTACGTGAAGAATATCCTGATCGTAAATATTCTATTCAAATATAATTCTAAATATTTTATTTGAATTTTAAGGAATGATTGTTGGTTATAGTGTTTTTCCATCACCACAAGTATCAGAATCTATTGTTGAACCATATAATGCTATGCTTGCTGCTCAATATCATATTGAATCAACTGATATGCTAATATGTTTCGATAATGAAGCACTTTATGATATCTGTACTCGATCACTTAAAATTACTTTTCCTACAATGAATGATCGTATACCATCATTAAATATTTAGAAATTATTTTATTCTTATTTATATTGTAGTCAATCATCTTATTGCTAGTACAATGTCTGGTCTTACAACATGTCTTCGTTTTCCTGGTTACTCATCTATTACAAAAAAATTTTTTTCTAAGATTTATTTTTTTTTAGGTCAATTAAATGCTGATTTAAGAAAATTAGCTGTTAATATGGTTCCATTTCCACGTTTACATTTTTTTATGTCATCTTTAGCACCATTAACATCTCGAAGTGGTCAATCATATCGTGCTATGTCTGTTCTTGAATTAGTTCATCAAGTATTTAATCCTCGAAATGTCATGTGTGCTGTTGATCCACGACAAGGACGATATCTTACTGTTGGTAAATATATAATTTAATATTTTATTTTAATAAACTGAATTTTTCTTTTGAATACTTTAGCATTAGTTTTTCGTGGTCGTTTATCAATGCGTGAAATTGATGAACAAATGTTACATGTACAAAATCGTAATTCTCAATATTTTGTTGAATGGATTCCTAATAATGTTAAAACAGCTGTTTGTGATATTCCACCAAAAGGATGTCGAATGTCTTGTACATTTCTCGGTAAATGAATTTATTCAATATGAATAAATGAAAAACTATTTCTATTTATTCTAAAGCAAATAATACAGCTATTGAACAATTATTTAAAAAAATTTGTCAACAATTTTGTGCTATGTATAAGAGAAAAGCATTTCTACATTGGTACACAGCCGAAGGGTAAATAAATTTTTGAATAAAAAACACAGACATTTTTGTTTTTTTGAATTTTATATATAGAATGGATGAAAATGAATTTACTGATGGTAAATAAATTATAAATCGAGTACATATGAATTTTCTGTTTTTTTTTATTTAGCTGAAGCTAGTTTAAATGATATTATTAGTGAATATCAACAGATTAGTAATTATGAATCTGTTGATCCAATGGTAGATTCTTTATCGAAATAAAATAATATATATATATATTCGATAAAACATATTGAAATCATTTTATTATTTGTATCTGTTAAAATTAATAATAAAATTTTGATGCATATTATTTTTCTTTTGATTAATGCCATTTATAGTGTAGAATGACATCTTATGAGTATTCACCGTTGGTTACTTTGCATCCATTAACAGAATCCTAGACAGCTGATTGACAACCAAAGATAAATAATCAAACGAACTGACGGACTTTTAGTACGCCTTATCATAAAGTTTGCAAACCTAGTCAACTAAATGTCTTATATCATTTAGTTAACAAAATGTATTCATTACGTTCTCGTCGAGCGAAAATTCTACTTGCAACATCATCATTTGCTTTAATTGCCTATCTTATTCGTCGCTATCGTCGATATATTTTATTAAAAAAACGACGTACTCTTACAAATTCACGAGAACAAACGACAACTAATGTTACGCCATTAACTCGTAAAACGCTTAATAAACAATTTTTTCATCAAATTCGAATACTTATTCGTATTCTTATTCCACGTATAAGAAGTGATTCGTTTCTTATATTAATAGTACATTTAACAACACTTATATCTCGAACATTTCTTTCAATTTATATAGCACATCTTGATGGTGCTATTGTTAAATCATTAGTACAACGAAATCCACGTAATTTCCTACGTGCAATAAGTATTTTCGTTAGTGTTGCCATTCCAGCTAGTTTTATAAATAGTTTAATACGTTTTGCTGAATCAAAATTATCATTAGCATTTCGTTCAAAATTAACTCGTCATGCATATGACGCTTATTTTCGTGTAAGTTTTATAATTTCATTCTATTTTGTAGTAAATTTTTAAACATTTTAATCTATTAATTTAGAATCAAACATATTATCGAGTATCAACTTTGGATAGTCGACTGCTTACACCAGATCAAAATTTAACAGATGATATTGAAACATTTACATCGACATTAACTCATTTGTTTTCACATTTAACAAAACCATTTTTTGATATTGCTGTTATATCATGGTCTCTTGTTTCAATGGTTCGACAAAGAAAAAATGCACGAGGTCTTAAAGGTAATTATATTCATATTCTAATGCGATATGATTTATCTCTTTTCTATTGCAGAGGTTCCCGGTATGATCTTGATAGTTATTATAATTACATTTATGGCTCTTCGAAGATTATCACCTCGATTTGGTAAACTTGTTTCTGAAGAAGCTAGAAGACGTGGTATACTTCGTTTTGCTCATACAAGAGTTATTGCTAATGCTGAAGAAATAGCTTTTTTTGATGGTCATGAAGTATATTATTGAATCTTTTTCTATGAAAACAAAAAACATAATAGCTTAATTTTATAAATATAATAGGTTGAAAAAAGTTGGATTTTAAAATTATATGATCAATTACGTGAACAAACAAATTCAATTATTAAGAAAAAATTATGGTTTGTTATGCTTGAACAATTTTTAATGAAATATTTTTGGCATGCATGTAAGTTAAAATAACAAAAGATATATTTTGTATAGTTAATCAATTGTTATATATTCAGGTGGAATGGTAACTATTGCTATACCTTTTCTTACATATGATGGACCAGCAGAAACAGATGGTAAATTAAATTTCTATTATCAATAATTATAAACATAAAAACTTCAATTTTAGATCCAATTGGAGATCCACTTGGTATTAGTGCTCGTACAGAAGCATTTACAGTTAGTAAAAATTTATTAACTTCTGGTGCTGATGCACTTGAACGTATTATATCATCATATAAAGAAGTAAGATTTATAAAATTAAAGAAAAGATTATCAATAAATGAGAAATTATTTTATAAAGATTGCAGAATTAGCTGGACATACAGATCGAGTTTATACAATGCTTCATGTTTTTGATGATTGTGCTCATTCAAATTATCAACGTACACCTATAATACCAAGTGAAAATCCAAGTGAATGTTCATCCGCACTTGCAAAAAGAAAAATATCTGTTGATCATCGAGCAAGTTAGTTTAAAAAATCGAAATAAATAAAATAAAACTCTATTTTATATGTTCTATAATTTAATAGAAGGTGAAATAATTGAATCTGATGAAGATATTATTGCTGAAAATGTTCCAATTATTACACCAAATGGTGATATTATTGTTGAAAGTCTTTCTTTAAAAGTAAACAAATTTTTAAATAAGAAAAATGTCATCGATTTTTATTATTTAGATTACACCAGCTATGCATGTTCTTATCACTGGACCTAATGGTTGTGGTAAATCATCATTTTTTCGAATTGTTCGAGGTTTATGGCCTATTTATTCTGGTCGTCTTTATCGACCAGATCCATCCAATTTTTTTCTTATACCTCAACGACCTTACATGTGTCCAGGTACATTACGTGATCAAATTATTTATCCGCATACAGTTGATAATGCATTCGTTGATGATAGTCAATTAATGGAAATTCTTAATAATGTTGAATTACAATATATTGTACAACGTGAAGGTGGTTTAAATGCTGAACGTGATTGGAAAGATATTTTATCAGGTGGAGAAAAACAACGTCTCGGTTTAGCTAGAATTTTCTATCATCAACCACGTTATGCTTTACTTGATGAATGTACAAGTGCTGTATCAATTGATGTTGAAGGAAAAATTTATGAACGAGCAAAACAATTAGGAATTTCATTACTTACTATCACACATCGACCATCTCTTTGGTTAGTAAATTTCTAATGAATTATTATAAAATAATATTTATTTTTATATTGTGATATAAATAGGGCTTATCATACACATTTACTTCAATTTGATGGTAATGGTCGATGGACATTTGAAGTACTTAATACAGAAAAACTTTTGACATTAAAAGATGAAAAAGAACGTCTAGAATCACAATTAGCTGGTATACCAGAAATTCAAAAACGTTTAAATGAATTAACTCAATTAATTGGTGAAGATATAATAACGACAACAGAAAATGAAGAGAATGATGATTAATGACAATTTTTTTCTTTTAGTAATAAATAATAATTTCGTTTTTTCTATTTTATTATAAGGTATTTTTACAGTCATAAGAATATGAATGTTGTTTTTAAATTTTTTTGTGTTTAAAAAATAAATTCCAAATGATTTTTAATAAGATTTAATTTAACCCTTTGCAAACGAGATCTTACTTTGAGACAAAATCAATGTGAAACCTATACAGATGCTAATATTACGCTATGTTGTGGGCGACACATCCATCATCTGCACTAGTATGTACAATTATCATTACATTCATTCAAAGCCAGACGTAAATAAACACCATCAAGATGTTAATAATAAAATATTATGTAAATTAAATATTATTCGTACTTGAAATTCTTTTCACACATGTATCAATAGGAAAATATATGAAGAAAGTTTTGAATAGCTTTATTCTAAAAATATCTTTAAAAAAAGGTGTGTTAAATTTAATTAGAAATATATTTCAACATTTTAATTCACACTTCTTATGTCGTATTAATAGTAATTCTTTTTTTGACATACTCATTTTTTTTACTGATTTAATTCTAACACCTACGAGATTTCTTTTACCGCCTACTGATTCTATATATCTTATAAATCAAATATTAAGTCTTATTTCAGTTCATATTCAATTTCTCGTACTTATTCTTCGATAAAATCTGTTTTCTTGTATTTAATTACTTCAAGTTTCATTCAGTATATATATTAAAAAGTAAGTACTTTTAAATACTTATGGAGATAAAGTAGTATAGACTGTATTCACAAATGGTTATTATTTGTACTCGTAAAGCTTTCCGTTTGAAATAATTACGATCTTATAGCACGATTGATCTAAATTATGTATTACGCATTTCTAATATATTCTCATCTATATAAGATTAAGTGTAGATATATTTGTAATTTTACTTGATATATTTTTCTGATTGCATTCATTTTATTCCAGTATTTTTTTGTCTCATGCATCAATACACTTTATTAATACTTTTTATTGCTATTATACAATTTAACTGCGCATGTTTTATTACTAATTGTCCAATTGGTGGTAAACGAAGTTTACATTTAATAAATAATCTTCAAAATCATCAAGTTAGAAATAAAGCAAAAATTATTTTTTCATATATTAACATTTTATTTATTCTTAAATTTAGTGTCCACGTTGTGGATTAACTGGTCAATGTTTTGGTCCAGCAATCTGTTGTACTGATTTAGCTTGTCGCATTGGTCATCCATCAGATATTCGTCAATGTTCAGCTGAGGATCATAATCTTACACCATGTATAATTAAATCTCCTACGTGTTCAACTGTACCAAATGGTCGATGTGCTGCTAATGGAATTTGTTGTGGTACAGGTATGAAATTTACTAACAAAAAACATTCATTTATAATCATTATCTATATTTTATTTCTTTAGAATCATGCCAAATCGATGAAACTTGTTAAATAGCATCAAATCAAGAAATTAATATTTCCCAGGAAGAACGTCTATGATATATTTCTCTTTTACATAAACTAATGAAATATAAAATAAATATAAAGAAAATCATATTCTTCTATGTCATTCATAGTGTGATATTTAAATAAAAATAAAGAATGTGATATTCAATATAACATTAACTTTAGTTTCATTCTATATACATTAAAATAAAGTATTATTGTATGTCTATACATCAGAATAGTATATATATATATATATGTATTTTTTTCTGTTTACGAGAGTTATAACAATGACATTTGAAAGATCACTAGAGGTCACTAGTTTGCATGGTTATGACATATATTGTAACTTGAAGATGATTGGATAATTTTCTCATTCAATTCTAAATCATGGACACCACGTGTGTATGTGTATTACATTCTTTCACCTTCCCTCTATTGCCTTTCTTCTTATTTGGTTAATTCGAAAGAGGCATTCAGGAAGGTTGTGTAAGTTATTTGTCTTTTGTATTCATTTCATATCCAGATTTTCATGTCTCGTCAATATTCTAACCGTCCTTTTATACCACCTCGCCGTCGTGTATCACTTCAAATGTGTGATTTTGTTACTTATCCACCATCACAAACCAATGATACAACATCAGATAATTCATCCTGGCAATTGACAGATCCATTATCTTGTATGCATCAACAAGCAGCAGCATCTTCTGCTTCTGCTATTACTACACCTCTTCCAACACAAAATGATTTTTCTTATTTTCAATATCCACCTCATCGACAGACATTCGAATCTTCATCTCATCCAATAAATCGAGAAATAATTAATAATAATAATATTAATAATAATAATAATAATAATAATAATAATAATAATAATCAACATGTTCATCATGTAAATGAATCTCAACAACCATGTCATTTTCAGTATGTACAACAACCTATTGAAGAACAACAAATAGCAAGACCTTTATTACCATTAAATGTTGTTACGGTAAAAAAAAATGAATCCTTTTTTTTCTCTATATTTTTTTAATAAATCTTATTTCAGGCTGCAGCAGCAACGACGGCTTCAGCTCCGCATCATCGTCATTATCGTTTAGAAAGTCCATCTGCTGCTTCATTTACACGACATCCACCGTGGTTTGATGATGAACGGGAAGATAATAATGGAACAATGCAACGATCATCTCGTAATAATAATCATACGAAACGACAACGTTCATCAGCTATTAGTACATCTACTTCTCAATCATCTCAGTCATATCATCATCCGGAACGAAAACGTTCGAGACATGAAGGTATTAATGATGAAAATGAACGAATGAATCATCGTTCACTAGAGAATGTATTACAACCACAACCACAACCACAACCACAACTACAACAACAACAACAACCAATACAACAACAGTATCAATCATCTAGTCATCATCATTATCAACCATATACGTAAGTATTTCATTATTTTTTTTCTTTGCATAAAATCTTATTTTAATATAATATTCTATTCTTATCTTTATTATATAGAAATCATCGACATGTACAATCACAACCAACTCCTATACCTCGTACATCATACATCGATAATGTTTCTCCTCTTTCTCGATCATTTGATCAGCGTACACAAGCAATGCAACGAAATCGAATTGAACATGTACATGAAATCAATAATACAAATACCCATTACGGACTTCATCATCGTCCTATTCAACCACCACTACCACCACCAACTCTACAATCTCGCAATATATATCATCCTCCTGATCATCGACAACTTGTACTTGAAACACCACCTGTTGCTTTACCTCGTCGTCAACCAATTCCTCCTCTTCGTTCTTCTTATACACAACCACTAAATCATCACCATCATCATCATCATCATCAACGAAGTGGAATCGCATTCGAACCAGTACCACAACGTGGTCCACTTTTTCATCGAACGTCAATGACTACTCATTTGCATCAACGACCTTCAACTTCTTTTCTTACTGATTTACTCCAGTATGTATTATATTTTAATAATTTCTTTTTTTTTTCTTTGAAGTCAAATAAAACTTCATAATTTTAAAAATTCTAGTCGTGTCATTGATGCACATGCTGCATCATACAGTGATAATCATGCTCATTATCATCATCATCATCATCCACCACCAGCTTCAATTGATTTAATTGCATATGCATGGATGTCACCTGGTCATGATATTTTTTCATTACCAGCTGCATTTAGTATTCAATTTGGTGTAAGTTTTCAAATGATTATTCAATTTTTTTATTTTTATTTTATTCAATTTCTATAGGATTTTTTTGATCTGACAATTCCCGATGAAACACCTGTTGTCGGTCTAACCGATAGTGAACTTGAACGATTACCCACAATAATCTATACAAAATCTTGCACAAATATTGAAGCTGACGATAAATGTGCTGTATGTTTAAGTGAATATGCAAGTGGTGAAAAACTCAAACGTCTACGATGTAAACATTTCTTTCATAGTGAATGCATTGATCCATGGCTTAAGGTAAGCATTCTTTTGTAATTGTCTTCTATATATATTATTATTATTATTATTATTATTATTATTATTATTATTTTAGACATCAACTCGATGTCCAATTTGCCGTGGTGAACAGACGAATTAAATAAAAAATATCTATCCGAATTGTTCGTACATATTTTTTTTTTGTCTTCAGATAGCCTTTTCTTCTTGTTCTTTACTTTCCTTTAGATGCCAGATAAGCACGAGTTGCATTATTATTGTTGTTCGTTTTGTTTCATTGTTAGTCTGCCTGTTTCTCTTTTTCTTTTTGAACTGTGAACATATTCTTCTATATTTCTTTTTTGTTTTCATATGTGCGTATGTATACATATTAAAGAACTCTTTTCTTATTTGTTTATTGTTGCATTTCTTTTTTGTGCGACAGTCTTTCAAACTTTACAAGAGGAAAAAACTAATAGATCATATCAACAAAGAAAAAAAAAGAAGTGTTTTTTCCTTTTATTTTGTTTTTTTGACTTCTCACTTGTCTTTTCTTGTCTTATGCATATATATATATATAAGAAAGTACCATTAAAAAAAATAAATCATACTAAAGAGAGAAAATGTAATAAAAAACTAACGAAATAATAATTATAATTGTTTACGGATCAATGAACTGAATCAAGGAATGTTTTAAATATATACATCATACTATACTATAATGGTGTGATGTCAGAGAGCAGATGCACCAGATGGTAGCCTTTAATCTTTGATTATACTTGAAACATTAGAATAGGAATAATAATTTGAACAAGAAGGTTGAATCAAAACTAAAGATTTGTAAACTTTTACTTCTTCGATGCAGTTAAATTGTTCCATCAATATGATTCTAGTCCACAACAAAATGTTTAGTGATATAATTATAATCAAAGAAGAGAAGAATATTCACAATTCGATATTATGAAAATTATTAATTGTTGAATAATCTACTGTATAATACGGCATGTACACAAAATTATAGATCGATCTGTGTTATATATATGTATATGTACAGCAATTGTACTCATCTTCACAAGAGACGTAAGTATCATCACTATCGTAACGGCTCGAAACGAGAAATGCACTCACCAAAGATATACAGGTCAAAGAGTCTGCTGTGATTGAAGTGATACTTGAATGAACAATCTGTCACACTTTAGGTACTTTTTATATATTTCTTACTTGAGTATGTCATTCTTTTGAAGTGAACTTAGATGTTGTTGCATTGATCTTTTTTCATATATCTTAATAAATTCCATTATTATCAAGGGTCTTGCGGAAAAACGAGGAAAAGAAAAACGTAGAAATGTTCAGTATACTCCGTTTGATGCATAATAAGTACTGTATCTCTTGAAATGCTATTCGAAATAATTGCAATCATTGAGAAAAATACTAGGGACGAATGATTTAATTTAAATACAGATATATATTTTATGAAAGATTACAAGTCAAAATAATTCATGAACTCAGTATGTTTTATATATTCTATCCCACGCAAATATATTACAGGCATTAGATTATTCATGCACCGTTCAGCTATTATTCTTCTTTTCAGTACCAATAGAATTTTATTCAATTTTCATAAAAAAAAGGAGGAAACTATGTTTGATTAAAAATATAGAATTTCAGTTTTTTTTCATTGATTACTAGTGACACAAAAACAAAATGATAAAGTTATTTGGTTATCATTTATCTATTTTTTTTCAAACGAATTGATTTTTTATTTAAAAGTTTTATGTCATTGATGAAGATAGTAAAAGTGTATCGGATGATATACTTTCAGTTGATAATCAAGATGGTGTTGTTCAACTGTATGGAAATATTTTGGATAATAATATATCATTTATTAGTCTTATATATTTATGCAAATGTATCTGACCTCAATCTTATGTGTATGTATGTAGTTTCTCTCTCTTTCTCTTTATCTTTTTTTT